GTGTTACCGGTTTACATACCGATCACATAGCAGTGAAAATCAGTTAGATCGGTGCCATATAAAGTATATCCTCCATACCTCTGATTGTTTAGAGGCGTTTTTTTTATATAAGTATGTAACTCCTCTATCGATGTATGCAGATGTATTCAAAATCAGTAATCTGTCAAACTAAAATTTGCAGATGTTCATGAAAGGTATGAAGCCTTCGGCATAACCGAAGACAGCGCTGCTCTTACTTGTTAAGTTTTGTCGTTTTGATACATATTTCAAATCAAACTTCGCTCATCGTAAACGTCTTATATGAAAATGATGATATGAAAAAAATATCTGTTTGCTTCCAAGTAAAACGATGCTTTGCCTACGATGTCAAATTTAAATTCAAGTATTCACATCGTTTCTATTCATAATCGGCGATTATTAACTGGTTATATTTTTACTTACTCGTGCAGGTCCCTAAGTATATACATACAATTTAACTTTAACGCTCTAGAACGTTTTTATTTACTTGTGCCAAATTTTTGCATGGTTGAAACGAACATAGAAAGTTCTATTGATCTGCATTTTCCGTTTTTGCATAGCTGAATGCATATTTTTGCCTCTTGTTTAGTATTTCAATTCCAATTCAACTCCTGCATCCACCACAACAATTAAGTATTTATTAATTTTTCGTTGATAAATGAAGACAATTTTGCGTTTATTATTTTTACAAACTCAAGAACTTTTAAAATTTAAATCAATCGGCACTGAAAATAGAAAATAAATATTCGAGTGTTTTTAAAAATCATACACATTTCATTTTAATTCTGATAGTAAATCTTTAATTAATCTGCTTTAACTATAACTCTAACTTTTTTATTATATGCACTAACGGCTTGGAAATGTCTCTTCTTTGCATTTTGCATAGCCTGGCGTATGCATTTGTCGGGTTCGTCGGACTCCACGGCTTCTATAAATTGTGTTAAAAAACATACATACATACATAACACAATTGACTCACTATACGCTTTCGAGTTTTCAATGTCTCACCTCTTAAAACGCAGTAAAAGTCTTTGTAATCCTTTAGGCGTCCCTTGCCATGTGTGCCATCTAAATTGAAGTCTACAATGACGCTTTCAGCTAAGACATTCTTAATATTCTTTTGAATTTGATTTCGTATCAACGTTTTGATTGCCGCGACCTGTTGATAGTTGGAAAAAATGAAATAATTTTAAAATAAAAGTTTAGGAAAAATTATATACTACTCACGTAGCCATCGCGATTTTCTTTATTAATTTTACTATCTAAATCAATTAATTCCTCTTGATTGTTTATCGGGAATTCATCTATCACTTCACTCGATACCGTTTCATGGCGAATAATCCTTTTGATGAGTGATGACTGATTAGTTAAGGTTTCCACCACCATTGCATTCTGCTTCATAAGTATTTCTGTTTTAGAAATAAAATGCGATATTGTAATTTTAAATAAAATCTCTTTTGAGTTTGGAACTTAGACTTACTTCTTAGCTTTTTAAATTCATTCATCGTGCGTCCGCATTGTGTACATGATGGTGTGGTATCTGCAACTGCAAATGTTAAATACCTTTAGTTAGTTTAGTACTATATATGTATAAAGGTTTTAATCTATTTTAACATTCTAAAATGCTAATTATGTTCCGGATCTGCTGCATATGATCTTGTATTTACATATTTTGGTGCATTTGTAAATTCACCACAATAAAATGCAAACCTTTGCCGTGGTAGCAAGCATAAAATTTGCAAATGCTCTTCCAAATAGAAATCCAAGATCATTTCCGCAATATCCTGAGCAGTCCTAATGTATAATATGTAAAGTCCGACCGATTCCTGATGCCGATTAATCGACCGGAGGGCAAAGAATCGGCAGATGACGATGCTGATGCCGATTCCTTAAAAAAAATACCTGAATATAAATGCATTGAAGAACAAATGTTTTTAATACATTTTATAATAAAAAATTAAAAAACATAAACAAATAACTAAATAACATTACAAAAACAAAAATCAGCCAAGAATCTATTCACTTATTTGTGTACATACATAAATTTTTTTTAAAAAATAGTATACCGCTTACACATAACATTGCAATACTTTGTTCCATAGTGTTTTTTTATTCAATGTAAAATAAGTAGTTAATTCGAAATTACGTTTCCTAGTTTTACTCATAATTTAACAATCCAGTGAAAAGACCCCGAAAGATTTAGGAATTCAGCGATTAATTCAAGGATAATTGTAACAATACATACAGTGACGAAAATATAAATATGGAAGAGGCTCTTAAGCATTCTTTGGCGGTTTCCCTTTCGTTTATTTAATGTTTATTACTTTGTTATGAAAGTATAGCTCGTTATCTAACATTGTTACATGGTTGTAAGTAAAAATTTCAAACTTTATACAAAAATTAGAATTCGGACAGTTTTTTAATTAGATTTTCTAGAAACATTCTGAGTATGCAGCTTTGTAGCCCATTCAATTTTATTATAACGAAGTGCAAGTTTTAAGTAGCTAGGACTTAGCGGTGATTTGTATAGAAGAAAATGCGTGAACAAAAATGTGTCAAAAATCAAAATATACTAAAATTAAAAAAATGCGTACTCAAAAAAGTTCTACAAAATCTGATTAAACAGTTTCAATCAGTTTGATGAACATTCATTCAGATTTGTCTAATTTTTATAAATGTTCTGGAAAGTTGAAATTATTTACAGGGTTTTGTTTAGATAGTAAGCTATATTTTCATAAAAAAAAAACAATAAACATTTTTTAAAGAAAGAAAAATAGCCAAAACTTGCTAAAATATGTCTTCGCTATTTACATTCTCGCCACCGAACAACATAAAGAATGATGACGAATCATGAGAACACATTTATGACAGGAGGACTCAAATGCATTAATATTTTAAGCTTTAAAGGAAGTAATAAAGCAAAAAATAAATAACATGCAATGAAGTGCGAAAAAAGTAAAAAGAATCGGCTAAAAATCAGCCATTGCCGATGCCGATGCCGATTATTTTGGCCGATGCCGATTAATCGGTCGGACTCTAATAATATGTACTAAATAGCTTATACCCACGGGATTCATCCCACATTTTTTATAAAAATTGCAAAATACTTAAAAAAGAACGTATATTTTATTTCTCCTCTATTTTTGCTATAGCTGTAAATTTATTTAAGCGAGTTAGAGTCTTTTAAAATTATCAAAGTTCAGCTTAAAAAGCTACCAGAGAACGCCGGGTCAACTTGTAACTTTCCAGAAGGTGCCACGATCGATTTTACAATATTTACACCTCTAATTCACTAACGTGGCATTGGTAAAATACCACAGCTCAAAACTCTGGCTAAATGCTTCAAGAAAAATTTAGATTATAAGGGGGACTTCCACGCCCCTTTTAAATTAACTTACACTTCTATTGATTACACTGGTTTACAGCAAAAATGTTCTATGGATACCACTATCCAATTCCCATGTAGAGATATATGCAATTTACCGTTGCTCTGCTTTAAAAAATAGTGGTTTCACTTAATCACGTATATCTTACGAACCCATTGAATAATCGAGTACGGGAAATGAAAGCAAGTGAAATTCTCCATAAACTGTATATCTATCACTTTTCGATAGCCCTGATTGTTTCTGAGAAGTTAGTCATTCATTTCGGACATCTCTTGTTTTCGATGCAAACACTCTACCTACTCAGGTGGGTGGCGTATGAGTAACACTCTTTTTTTGCTGATATTTCATACAAAAAATCCTTGCACATTTTCACTTGACCAATCATTATTTTGTTATTTATATTTCGATTTTCTTCATTGGTAGCTTAGTTTTTTTCTAAAGGAACAGGCTTTAACACAAGTGCAAATTTACACACAAACTGTTATTTTTTGACTTCTTTCCCTGTTACAGTTTGAATTTTTTGCATTTTTCCATCAAAAAACAAAAAATCTGGAATGACTAATTAATTACTCAGAAACTATGAGGATTGTGGATAATTTCATTTTCTATCATTTGCTCGTATTACGATTATTTAATTGGTTCGTAAGATATACCTGATTAATTGGAAACACTTTTTTTTTTAAGCTCAATAACGGTAAATTGCACATATCTCGAAAACGTATCCAAAAAAATTAGCTCAGTTTTCGGAATCAGGGAGTGAGCTTACATACAAAGTGGATAGTGACGTCTGAAGAACAAAATCAAAATTAAAATTTGTGATCCAGTGTTATTAAATCAAGTCCGATTTTTAGTGAAATCGACGAAAATGCTATTACTGAATCCGAATAGCCGCGAACGTAGTGTATACATTGAATACACACGTTCGTAGAAATTCGCATTTTGCGATCGTATTTTCGTAGATTTTACGAAAAAATCGGACTACGTTGAATTCTGTGATAGCCCCCTGTTTGTAGCGGGAGAGGAGAATCAGTGTTTAGCAGCCTGGCCAAGTAGCAGATGAGAGACTTGCACGATACGTGACCCTAGTATCGTTTCTATTTGATATAAAGGCGATGAAGGCGACCATCAGTTTATTTCGACCCCCACGGAGAACGATTGGTTTCTCGAATGTTTTGAGTTGCCACGCGATCTTAATATATCGAAATAATTTTTAGCCTGTGACAATGCCTGCAAAGTTTGCAGTAAGTGGCACTTAGTAAGTGCGCCAAATTTGGTTCTGAAATACATACTCTATATACATACATAATTTATTTTTTATATACCCATCCAGTCAAATACGCTCCTAATATGGAATGAAAAGGAAGTCAAGGTGTTTGTTATCTTGATTTAAGGTTTTTTTGTATCTAATCTGTTAAGGCAGTGTCACAAGATTAGTAAATTTATACAGATTCGTACATTTTTTATACTGGGCTACTGGGGTACAGAATAAAAACAAAATTGGGCCGATAGTTTTTTTGTAGTCACACGATTGGTACAATATATCAAACTTCTATTGAAGAGTTTCAACAAATTGTTTTTCGTGAATGAGAAAAAGAAAAATGTTTGTGCACTCACACGATTGCGATACGATTTCCACCAAATTTTGGGCAAATCACCAATCGTGTGAGACTGCCTTAAGATTTATAATGTCATAGCCGGAAATACTTTGAATTGAATTTAGTATAATTGGAAAAATAAATTTGCTCTTAAAAGCGGTGTTCGGCTGTAATTATTAAAACTATTTAAAAATTGTCGAGACGAAAGCTCGTAAAAAACAATCGGAAAGGATTATATGTACCTTCGTTGACACAAAATTAAAAAAAAAAAGTTTTTACACTGTGCAACACATTTTTCTAACAGAACAAAAAAAACAACACAGTGCGATAGTACTGATCTAGAATAGCAACACTCTACAACGGGTTTGCAAAGTTAGCTCGATTTCAAAAGATACTGGCATTCTAAATTTGGCCCTGGCATTTAAAAAATAAAATTTTCATAAAAAAATTTTCTGATATTCNCACGATTGATACAAATTTCAAAGTTTTCAGATCAATCTTTTCCTAAAACAAACCGTAATGACTTCTTTAATAGGCTGCCATGCTCGAAGTTCTTCATCACCTAAGACAACATCAAACGGGTTTCACCTAGTATTAACAACGATATCAACATTAAGTCAACGATATTTTAAATCTCGTCTTAAAGGATATTACCATT